TAGCCACAGAGCGCACCAACATGGCTTCTTCAACAATTTTGCTCTCTGTTTAAATGGCGTCGACTTCAGAAATTAAAATGCAATTACTTAAAAACGTCAAAAACGGGTTAACTCAATAAAACAATCAATTAAGACTAACCTACTTTTAGAGCTTGAGTTGCGAAGTATTTATATGTGACAACCTCTTCACTGTGACTTCCCCTGATCTTGTTTCACTAGTTGTGTTGAATGGTCTTAAATTAATAAATATATGGTACCTTTGGGGTCCATCTGAACTCAAGCGGAAAGCAAGGGTAGTTTCGTGGCGTGACATAAAACGTAACTATCGTTACAGCAGGTGTGTCGCACCTCGTCCTATTCAGTTTCTTCAGGTTGTAATCAGGCAGTTTGACTGTTACACGTGGAATGAATGAATGAATGAATGAATGAACTTTATTTAGGTGTCTGAATAATTGTGGACACTCCATTTAACTACAGATCACACTAGCATGGCTTCCTCGACATTTTTGACGAAGTTGTAACTTTGTTCGGGCAAATAAAGTTTCGGTACACTCTTTTATGAGCACTATTCTAAACGCCGTGTACAATTCCCCATCTTTGCCTACAAAAGCTTCGTCCTTGTCCATAAAAAGAACAGAAAAAGTTGATTGATCATACAAATGTTTCGGAAGCGTTCGGGAGTGTTTCCAACGGGGTACTGAAAGGAACACTTCGGTAGAAATCCAAAAATTCCGAAGAGATTCTTTCTGATGATTATTCAGTTGCATTCAATTTGTCATTTTCGACGCACTTTTTTGATCACATGTGTAACTGAATTGGGCAAATGAATGAATAATTAAAATGCTACATTGGCTCCGACGCTTGTTGGAAGAAGGCAAAAGAAATTCATCCCTTAACCTCAATGTGATTTCTTTTGCTTTATTCCCTCAAGCCTGGAATGTTAATATATCGTGATTGGCCTATTCCCAAAAAAAATCCAGCGTTTTGGAGTAAAGTGGTAAGCACCAAAGATTGTTTATAAACTCAATAAAGAGTGACTTGGGAACCGAAAAAAAGTAGAATTTTGACTTTTGAATATCTCATTTACANTCTTTGCCTACAAAAGCCTCGTCCTTGTCCATAAAAAGAACAGAAAAAGTTGATTGATCATACAAATGTTTCGGAAGCGTTCGGGGTGTTTCCAACGGGGAACTGAAAGGAACACTTCGGTAGAAGTCCAAAAATTCCGAAGAGATTCTTTCTGATGATTATTCAGTTGCATTCAATTTGCCATTTTCGACGCACTTTTTTGATCACGTGTAACTGAATTGGTCAAATGAATAAATAATTAAAATGCTAAATTGGCTCCGACGCTTTTTGGAAGAAGGCAAAAGAAATTCATCCCTTAACCTCAATGTGATTTCTTTTGCTTTATTCCCTCAAGCCTGGAATGTTAATATATCGTGATTGGCCTATTCCAAAAAAAACCCAGCGTTTTGGAGTAAAGTGGTAAGCACCAAAGATTGTTTATAAACTCAATAAAGAGTGACTTGGGAACCGAAAAAAAGTAGAATTTTGACTTTTGAATATCTCATTTACATTAGATGTTAGCATTGTTTGACCTCTGGCAGACAAAGTTTCGAATAGGAGCTCCATGACTCAGACGAGATTTCCTTATAGTATATTTGTCGACTGAGACTCGACAAAGAAAGTTCTCAGTCTCAGGGTCGAAGAGCGCTGAAAACTACGCCGATAAATTTTTACTGACTTGGAATGTGCTTCACTTACTGGGCAGGGGCGTTTAAGATTAATTTTCCGTTGAATAATAGGGAGTAAGCAGGTCGCAAACTACGTTGAGATGAAGATCCCAAAGATCCTGCAAATTCGACACAGAAACCCTGCTTGTAAAGGATGAAAAACAAAGTATTGGTGTCGGGAAATTATCCCAGTGTAGGACATCGCTGGGGAAGATTAATAGTACCAGCCGCTGTTCGGAAAAGGAGCCCGCGCTCCTCACTTAGACCGGACTCGGGGGAGCGATGAAAATAGAGCCAAGACAAGTTGGCGACATTAGAAAACTATGTAAATTATTTTCTCTTTGGCATGAAATTCCATTGAGGGGTTTGGCAAACCGTTCTCTCACAGTTAATAACTGATTTGATGAAGAAAGTCACCAGAATCAAAGACGAAGAATTTCATAGATGTGGCCACGTGAATTAAAGTAAATCACTTAGTGACGTCATGGATGAAATGGCGCAGTCCAAGATGGCGACTTTCTCAAATTACGCACAAGAAATGAGCTTGGCTATATTTGAGCAACTTTAAATTTATATAGTATTAAACAGCTATATAAATACAAAAACAGAATTTTAGGGTTAACACACCATTAACATTCCTAATTTTCTTCATTCACATCCTCTGTGAGGGACTTTTGGGGACCTCATAGTACAGCCACCACATACATTCATAACCAATCAGAGCAGTAAACTAAAGCTTCCCGTACCGAGAAGAAATTCAACATTCTTCAGCTTCCTTGTTTGTTACACCATAGTAAGGCAAGTCTCGGCAGGAGAGAGATTTTCATTATGAGATAAGTAAAATTTTAATCCTATTTGATTGGTTTCCTTCAGTTTTTATTTTCAGAACAGGTAGCCCATAGTATAACATTGTAGGACACAAACCATCGTGGCCTGCGTTATTACCAATCGGTTTCGTGTTGATTTATTTGTCATGGTTTCTTCATTTCATACAGTATCTATTAATTCAAGATGTACAACTAATTTTTTTAACTAGACTTTCGCCTAGAACCTCACCTCCTCCTAATTGTCTAATTAATACCCTAAACAATTTTTCTATTAACAAAACTTAAACTGAATAAAAACATTGCGTTACGGATACCTCGAGGAGGTCCACAGTTCTGACAGTGGCCAATAAAACGCAGCCGTTCGGTTCCAAACCTTTTCATTTATAATCTAACCCGTGCATTCGTGTTCGGTTTCAAACCTTTTCATTTAAAGTCTAATCCGTGTATACGCACGACCATATTCTCCTTACTCTTCCCATACATTTCTTAAAATCTTCCGGGGAGAAATTACTTCTTGGTCAAGATATCTTCCCTGTGATGCCTAAGAGGATTAATTAATACAATTAACATACACCTATCAGGCATTTAAAGTCAATTTAAAAAAATTATTTCACCTTCCTCCTGATAGGAGAATAAATTCAATTTCGACACACTGCATGCTGTTTGTTATAAATATCTCTGGTATTTTCAGAAAAGTGACAATTTTCTGTCGGCAGCGTCAATAATAATTACAACTTATTACTAATTATATTTTAAAAATATTATTAATCTGTGTTCATCTCTTTCTTTGTCTTCCCTTGACTCGTTGTGCGCCTTTCTTGCTTCCAGTCTTTTTCGGTTTTCTTTCCACTTGTTTATTGGCTTGCGCGGGAGAGGAATCCCACTGACCAGACAGAAATATCGCGGGCTCAGACATGGAGTTCTGCGTATTTAACCTTACTAGGCTGTCCACTTCGTCGAGTTTAATAGGCGGACAGGAGCGCCTTTCCCCACGGGGTGTGGATGGGGCCGAAAGGGACACGGGATTTCTCCTAGCAGTTATATGCGGCAGATTTTCCATGGAATGCGGGCGGGATAGGCGTTCCACAGGAGTAGAATCGCCAGTGGAGTCATTTTCTTGGACAGCTTGAGCTACAGCGTTGGTCAGTTCCATTTCTATAGCTTCCGTTGCCTCCTCTACCGACGTAGACCGATTGGTTGTTTTGACAGCCGGAGGTGACTGTTCCAAGACGCTAGCCAGCGCCTCAGCTTGAGAAGTCGTGCGTCGACCCTGTCCGTGCATCGGAGACAAACACTGTTCGGGTGTGGCCATGGCTCCGGCGAGCGAGGCCTGGACAGAGTCCTGTGACGTATCAT